TATAATGTTTTACCAGTATATGAACATTTATTATAGTCTTAGTAGACAAAGGAACAGTATTATAAAGAGGGGTCTTTCATTTAAAGTGTATGATACAGAAATCATATAGCTCGAATTGAAAATATGAATTTCTGCCCAAAAAACGTCACTTTTAAAGGTTTACCTTAGAAAAGTTATTATAGTTTTAGATGGAGACTAACTGGAGTTGTTTAATTGTAAACCCGATTTTGTGGAAGGTTTGTGTTGGGTTAATTGTTACTTATGCAATAATGAAATTTCATTATAAAATTACTGAAGTATTGTAAAGCCTAGTTGATACAAATATTTTTGTTTTTAATTTTTGTATATTTTTAAGTTCAAAGCAATTTATAAGGTATTAAAATGTCATAATTGGTCTGAAAGCAGTATCAAAGTATACTTCAGAGTCAATACTTAACAAGGGTTGAGATCTATATTATAGTGAACTTTTAAGGACATGCAGCTACATGTAATTACTCTACATGTACATGTACATTCATGCATAATGCATACTTTCTGTCATGAAGGTATAGCATTTATGCATTGACACTGATGTGTCTAAATAATCGACGAGGCATTTTTTCTCTCTTTGTTTATTTGATTTTCCAAACAAAAATGATGTTCTATTTATTAAAAGCAGTCATGAGTAATAAACGTTCTTAACCCTTCGAGAGCGAGGCCGCACATGGCGATTGTTTTCCCCGTGACGGAGCAATTTTGGTTACATCGCCAGTAATGGAAAATTTGGCGATGCTTGCTACTTTCATTGCCCATTGCGCCTCATTCAGTCATTTTCGTGATTTTTAGTAAATGTAAAAATGAAAGATCAGACTTTTTTCTTTTAAAAAATATAAGTTTTGTTCATCAATATGAAAAATAAGGTCTGTTATTTGTGAGGGAAATTGCCGTCTTATTTTGCTGAACCTTCACGTCTTTCCTTTTCGATACACTCGCAATACAAATTGTGCAAGCACCTCCGCACGCGCAGATCGGTCAAAACCTCCATTCATTCGCTGTTAAATGAAGATAAATTTATCTTCGTTTAGCTGTTAAATGAAGATAAATTTATCTTCGTTTAGCTGTTAAATGAAGATAAATTTATCTTCGTTTAGCTGTTAAATGAGGATAAATTTATCTTCGTTTAGCTGTTAAATGAAGATAAATTTATCTTCGTTTAGCTGTTAAATGAAGATAAATTTATCTTCGTTTAGCTGTTAAATGAGGATAAATTTATCTTCGTTTAGCTGTTAAATGAAGATAAATTTATCCTCATTTAGCTGTTAAACGAAGATAAATTTATCCTCATTTAGCTGTTAAATGAAGATAAATTTATCCTCATTTAGCTGTTAAATGAAGATAAATTTATCTTCGTTTAGCTGTTAAATAAAGATAAATTTATCCTCATTTAGCTGTTAAATGAAGATAAATTTATCTTCGTTTAGCTGTTAAATGAAGATAAATTTATCTTCGTTTAGCTGTTAAATGAAGATAAATTTATCTTCGTTTTAGCTGTTAAATGAGGATAAATTTATCTTCGTTTAGCTGTTAAATGAAGATAAATTTATCCTCATTTAGCTGTTAAACGAAGATAAATTTATCCTCATTTAGCTGTTAAATGAAGATAAATTTATCTTCGTTAACACAGTTTAATGAGGATAAGTTAGAAATGTGGGTGGTAGTGTGTGGAGATGTGAAAGAAAAATCAAGGAATCAGTTTTATGACATTTTGACGAAAAGTGAACAAAAATTCGTTCATTTTGAAAAGATATACTGTTTAATCTTGTTTGGCAAGACATTAATCTACATCTGCCATACTTAACCTAGGTGTAGTAAGTGGGTACCTGGTAGGATATATTCCTTGAATGCATCACTATGTAGTATGTAGTAATTAAATGCACTATGGCTGTAATTGTCAGTCCTCCTGTTGTTTGACACATGCTCCATCAAAAAAAATTATGTGCATACTATCCTGCACTAATTGAATTCTTAATTTTAACCCTGCACCAAAAAGTATACCTATCACTAAACCTATGCTTAAACCTATTTGCAGCACTTATCGAAATCCTATATATATGACTAAATAATGCCCAGAGCACTTGTCAACCGAGTATAGCCCAACAAATACTCCCCCAAAAAATTGTTGGGCAATGCCAAAATTCCAGCAGTCGCCGCTCTGATTTGTGACCATAGCTTAAACCTTAGCTCAAACTTGTTTCCAGCCCGTGTCCAAATCCTATATATTTGACTAAATAAACCCCAGAGCATTAGTCACCTGACCATAGCCATACACATACATGTATAATGGAGCACCCAGTTATATTTGCAGTCATTCAATGATAACATGTACTCTGGTATTAATTGTACTTTTACGAATCACTGCTTGTATACATGTAGGTCCAAACTGTCCAGCTTCTAGATGTTAGGTGTCCAACATCGGCCTCCTTTCTTCACCTAGTAGATGCTTTGAGTTCCATGCCCAACCTGACTGACCTGATACTAAATGGAAAGCAATTACAGGAGGAGTTCTATTCTACACTGAATGCAAAGGCGTCAACCTTACAGGTATATACATGTATGTGTGTTTGTACTCTTTAACCATGCCATGATGAATGAATGTACACATATAGCAATGGAGATGAGTTTTTGGTGAAGACTAACTGCTGTCTTCAAGCATTTTAAGGGAAAGAGTAGTGTTGTGTTGCTATGTATGCAGTAAATACAGTTTCAGTATAAACAGATGACTAGAGTACTCGAAAGGCTAGTAGATACAGATATTTTTGTTTGTAGTTTTTAGATTTTTATGTTCAAAGCAAAAAGTTGGAATTATGTCATCATGGCTCTGAAGCAGTATCAAAGTTAGACCGAAAGCTTCAGTCTCTGATATCGACGGTTCTGCTGAGATTTCATTTGGCTCCTCTGACCGCCTCTATACATAGAGTGAAGTAAGTCCTATGTGGACTCTGTGGAAGGAATGGTTCGGTTCAGCCGGACCGCGATGAATGAGATATGCAACAATTTTTTCACTCTTTACGTCTTCATATTTCCACTTCGACTGCAATATTACACGAAAGTTTTGTAGTCAACATGATTTGTTGTTTGGCAAGACATTAATCTACATTTGCCGATGGGTTCTTGTTATGATATATTCCTTGAATGCAACACTATGTAGTAAGTAAATGCACTATGGCTGTAATTGTTAGTCCTCCTGTTGTTCGACACATGTTCCATCAACAATATCTCTGTGCATACTATCCTTCACTAATCAAATTCTTAACTTTAACCCTGCATCCAAAAGTATACATATCACTAATCCTAAGCTCAAACCTATTTGCAGCCCTTATCCAAATCCTATATATTTGACTCAATAAAGCCCAGATCAATTGTCACCTGATCATAGCCATAAACATACATGTATATTGGAGCATGTAGTTATATTTGCAGTCATTCAATGAAATCATGTACTCTAGTATTAAATGTACTTGTACGAATCACTGTTTGTATACATGTAGGTCAAAACCCTCAATCTTATAGATGTTCAGTGTCCAACACTACCCTCTTCACATCACCTAGCAGAAGCTTTGTGTTCCATGCCAAACCTGACTGAACTGACACTATATGGAAAGGATTTCAAGGAGGAGTTCTATTCTACACTGAATGCAAAGGCGTCAACCTTACAGGTGTGTACATGTATATGTGTTTGGACGCTTTATCCATGCCATGATGAATGAATGTACACATATAGCATTGGAGATGAGTTTAAGGATTTTTGATATATGAGATACCGTCAACTTTTTGTTATGTGTATAATGGTTTATATGAGAAAAATATAATAGTCTTAGCAGACAAAGGAACATCATTATAAAGAGGGTTTTTCACATGCAGTTTCTGATACAGAATTCAAATAGCTCGAGTTGAAAAATATGATGTTCTGCAAAAATCTTCTGCAAAATACTAACTACTGTGTTTAAGCATTTTTGGGGAAAGGGTAGTGTTGTGTTGCTTTCCAAGGAGTAATACAGTTTCTGTATAAATAGATGACTAAAGCACTCTAAATGCCAGGTTTTTCTGTCTGCAGCCAGTCTTGATGCATCTGTCAGCCTTCTTATGGATCTTGCTGTGCAGTCCTCTAAGATGCAGTCAAGCCATCTTTTGGGTGGACGGCCTCTGGGTCGATTTCCTTTGCCGTTTCCTTCAACAGCAATTTTGGGGTATCTTGTGGGTTTCATTCATAGGACATGACCAAAATATTTGAGTCTTTTAGTCAAGACTTTGTCCATGACATCTTGTTTGAGGTTAAGGGATTCTTTGATGTGCGTGTTTCGGAGCTTGTCTAGTCTTGTCACCCCCATGATGCGACGGAGGCATGCTATTTCAAATACTTGAAGCCTGTTGCTATCTTCTTTCCTTACTGTCCAAGATTCTGCCCCATACAGCAGTATTGAGAGGATAAGTGTTTGGTACAGTTGCATCTTTGTGTGGCTACTGATGCTTTTTGATGTCCAGATGTTTAATCTTTGGAAAGCTGCCCCTGCTTTCTTGATACGGTTTTTGATGTCACTTGAACTTGAGCTGTTTTAAGCTATTTTCCCCCCACAAAATCTTCCACCTGTTTCAGTCTGTCATTGGCTATGTTGTTTGGCAAGACATTATTACATTTGTCACACTCTTCCTAGGTTTAGTAAGTGGGTTCCTGGTACGATATATTCCTTGAATGCAACACTATGTAGTATGTAGTAAGTAAATTCACTATGGCACTAATTGGCAGTCCTCCTGTTGTTAGACACATATTCCGTCAACAATTTTTCTGTGCTTAATATCCTGGACTAACCAAATTCTTTAGTTTAATCCTGCACCAAAAAGTATACCTATCACTGAACCTAAGCTCAAACCTATTTGCAGCCCTTATCCAAATCCTATATATTTGACTAAATAAAGCCCAGATCAATTGTCACCTGAATATAGCCATACAAGTACATGTATATGTATATTGGAGCACCCAATTATATTTCAAGTCATTCAATAAAAACATGTACTCTGGTAATGTACTTGTATGAATCACTGTTTGTATACATGTAGGTTCAAGCTCTCACGCTCATGGACATTTGGTGTCCAACATCAGCCTCTGCACATCACCTAGTAGAAGCTTTGTGTTCCATGCCAAACCTGACTAAACTAACACTATGGGGAAAGGAGTTCAAGGAGTCGTTTTATTCTGCACTGAATGCAAAGGCGTCAACCGTACAGGTATGTATGTGTGTTTTTACTCTATATCCTTGCCATGATGAATAAATGTACACTTGTATACATGTAACAATGGAGATGAGTTTAAAGGTAAAGACCAGTATTGGAAATGCCCCAATTTCAAAAAAAAGAAAAATGGAAGCTCTCATTACCAATCATGTGAAAGAATATGTTTTGACTAATACATGATGATAAAGAATTTGCCGGGAAACCGCCTGCTAATTCATATATTTGGTAAATTTGTTTCTCTCATGGTCTGTGAGAGATATAGGGTAGTCCCATATACATCTTTCTGTGTATAGTGCTTGTAACTTTACGAAGAATGGGCCAAATTTCTTATCATTTTGATGATTCCAGAACCTTGCAGATGCTAGATGCTAGATGATCAACCTTTTCTGATCGATTCCACAACGTTTCTTTCACAATGCAATCGCATGACCATAACTGGTCTTTACCTTTAAGGATTCATGATATCAGGGCCCCATCTTTTAAAGAGTTGATAACAATCGTAACTGTGTACATAAGAGATAAGAGACTGCAAACTTGCGATTGACTGGAAGACTTACAATTGATTTGGATCAATCGTAAGTCTTTATAAGACTTGAAATGAGACGACTTAATACTAGAACAAATTTTAATTAGGGCACCCAGCTCTTTAAATAATTTGAAATAAAAGTAGAATCAATACATGGATAACATTCTGTTATTTACTGATAGAAATTAATTAAGCATAAAAAAAACTACGAGCAAATGATCAAATATTTGTTACCTTGCAAATTTAAATATCTGTCAAATTCTAACAAGCTTTCAATATCCCTGTACACAGAAAATACTTAGTTAAGCTCAAAATTATACTGTTGCAGAAAATGGCCTTAATTAATAAACAACCAGATGGAATTACACCTTGAATATTAGATTATTGGGGCATTTTTTTGCCCGGAATTATCCAATTTCCCAGAACAAGTATTAAACATATAATTTTGATATGAAAGATATAAAATATATTTAGGCACCTCACTGTCAAATAGAATGATATTTGGGCCCCTCGCTGCCAATATATAGAGGTTTTGAGGCACCTTGCTGCTCAAAATCATCCTGTTTCTAAATGATGCGAGCGAGCAAAGCGTTCGAGGAAAAAATACACTTTTATCTTTGAAATAATATTTCTTCATGAATTTGCATACTCTGGCAGTTTCTAACATTTGGTGTTTCACGAAATCAACGTTATGCCCCCCCCCCCCCCTAAGATCTCGGCAACCCAAAATTTTGATCAACTCCAACTTTTTCCTGGATATTCTAAGGTGTCTTTAAAGAAGCATGTAATCTTTTTAAAAGTAAAAAGGAAAACTTCTTATGGTGAGATAAACATGAGAAAACATTTGAAAATATTGCCAGACAAATTACAAATGAAACTAGAAATTTAATTCGTCATGGGGACGAATTAGGTGGTCTGTCTTCAATTTTCATGATCATTGACAAGTCAAAAAGTAAAAAAAAAATTGAAGAAAAAAAATTGTTGGAGACGCCCGGACTCGATCCAGGGACCTCGAGGTCGGAAGTCAAGTGCGTTACCGATATACCAAAAAATTTCCCATAGAGATTACACGTAAACGGAAAATGGAATTCTCAAATCCCACTTTGTAAGTGAAATATGAGCATGATTCTGGCATCTGATAAAAAAATAAAGGGCACACTTGTGATAGCTTATTGTCTCAGCTACAACATACTCAAAGCTCAGCGTAAACAAAGATAAAACAACCGAGATATTGCTCGCGAAAGACGAGAATGTAGAATCCAGTTTTGAGAAAAAGTCATGTCCCATAGAGAATACACGCAAAATGTGAAAAATTGACATGCCTCCTTTAATCACAAAAATACGCCATGATACCTTTGTCAAAATGAAATAATGTGAAGACTAGTTTGTAGAGAATATTCTCAGGTAGAACATATCAAAATTTGAAAGAAAATTGATCAATATTTACAGAGATACAATCAATTTTCCAAAAATCTGCTGACGTCATAATATGCAAATTGATATTTTGAGTTCGGAGGCCATTATGATGACGTCATGAGTTAATTGAGGGTCAAATGAGACATGAAATCATATCTTCAACTCATGCTTTTTCTAACCATGATATAAAAGTTGGGGTCAATGGACTATCTGAAGAGCTATTTTGATTTTTTAAATGGCATGTTTTTGATCAAATTTGCATTATATTGCCCATAGCAGCACACGCGGATTTTGAACTTTGACGCGCGCTCACGGCCTTATGAAAGGTCAAGGGTGACTGAAATTAATGTAAATTGTCATTTACGGTAAGAGAAATCTAAATCATGTAAAAAATATGAATTTGACCTTTTCCGTGCGCTGTGAGCGCGCGCAACGCGCGCGGGGACACGTACGGACGGAAAATTTTGAAATGCTTAAAATGACCTGATACGTACTCTCGTTTAATAGTTAAGTGATTTTGAGCATTTTTAGATTTTGACGCACGCGTACGCGCGCGTCGTGACCTTTATGTGACCTTTGATGACTTGACCTGTTGACCCTTGACCTGAAGTATATGTGATGTGAATATGAATGACCTTTGCTGATGTATCATGAAGATATGATGGATAATGTGATTTCACAAAATGGCGCCTGGATGACGTCATGATGACTTGATGACCTTGAAAATGTTCCTGTCACGTCTCATGACAATGACCTATGACTGTGTCAAAATTGAATCAAATTGACTAAACCGAACTTGAGTTATCCTAGGCACAAAAAAGTGTAGGAAATAAATAAAAATAAATAAATAATAATAATAAAGAAAGAAAATTCTGATGAAAACAATAGGTGATCTGTCGAAAACGACAGACCACCTAATAATAAGAAAGAAAGAAAATTCTGACGAAAACAATAGGTGATCTGTCGAAAACGACAGACCACCTAATAATAAGAAAGAAAGAAAATTCTGACGAAAACAGGTGATCTGTCATTGACAGACCACCTAAAAAGTGACATTTTTACTGAAACAGTTTTTATCCTATTTCTTTGTTTTTCTTGTGTATTGTATTGTTTTATGTAAATGAGAATGCAATAAGTTTTATTTACCATGGCACATGGAAATACTAACAGTGCATGTGAAAAGATGGGTAAAAAAACAGCATCATAACGGCGCATCTAAAAACTCTGTATGTTATATATATATGGAAGAATTTTTTTCATATTTTTTGTTTACCGGTTTTCGAATTTTCAGTGACATACAATCACAAAATGTTACATAACACCTGTACCAGTGTGCGCACATTTGGTATCAAAAGATGCGTAGGGGGGGGGTTGGATTAAGACAAGTAGATAAAAATATTGTTTTTGATTCTTATTCATTTTAATTCAAAGCAATTTATAAGGTATGAAAATGTCATCAGAAAACTTCAGAGTCAATACTTACTAAACAAGCAAAGTTCCATGTACAGACTCCAAGGGCGTATTTAGGGGAATGTTTTAGGTGTTGAAGAATTCAGAGACACCCATTTATCTGTGTTTTTTTCTATGAGCCCCCCCCCCCCCCCCCCCCCTGCATCCCCTCCCGCTTATTCACCAACTGGCTGATTCGGCGCTAAATATTTTCTCATGAATTGTCCCCCCCCCAAAAAAAAAAAAAAAAAAAAAAAGTGCTCCTTGTTGAAATGTAATCATGGGTCTGAAACTAGTATCAAAGTATACTTTAGATTCAATCTCACTAAACAAGGATGGAAATCTAGATCATAGTGCATTTATTTAAATCACAGCTACATGCACACACTCTAGCAGTAATGCATAATATCTGTCGTGAATGTTTAGCAATTTTGTAATGTCACAGATGTGTCCTAAAATTAAAGCCAAAGCGAGAGTTTCTATGTTTATTTAATTCTCAAAACACTGATTAATGTGGAGGTGTTTGTGATATGGTGGATAAGTCTTTGGACAGTGAACCACAAGGTATAGGGTTCAAATCCTTGCACTAATATTGTTTTGCAAGACATTAATCTACATTTGCTACACTCGGGGTGTAGTAAGTGGATACCTGGTAGGAGATATTCCTTGAATACAACACTATGTAGTATGTAGTAAGTAAATGCACTATGGCTGTAATTGTCAGTCCTCTTGTTGTTTGAAAAATGCTCCGTCAACAATTTTTCTGTGCTTACTATCCTGCACTAACCAATTTCTTCACTTCAACCCTGCACCAAAATGTATACCTATCTTTAAACCTAATCTTAAAGCCTTCATCCAAATCCTAAATTTTTTACTAAATGAACACTCTTAACCTGAGTATAGCCAAATACATGTATATTGGAGCACCCAGTTCAATTTGCAGTCATTAAATGAAAACATGTACTCTGGTAATGTAGATGTACGAATCACTGTTTGTATATATGCAGGTCCAAACTGTCGTGCTTGCAGCTGTTAGGTGTCCAACATCAACGTCTTCACATCACCTACTAGATGCTCTGAGTTCCATGCCAAACCTGACTGACCTGATACTAAACGGAGAGAAACTCCATGAGGAGTTCTATTCTACACTGAATGCAAAGGCGTCAACCTTACAGGTATGTATGTGTGTTAAGTTGTACTCTTGCCATGATAAATGAATGTACACATATTCCAATGGAGATGAGTTTAAGAATTTGTGATATATGAGCTACTGTCAACCTTTTTTTTCTTCATGTGTGTATAGTTTTAAATGAAAATATATAATAGTCTAAACAGACAAAATAACATTATTATAAAGAGGGGTTTTCATGTACAGCTTCTGATACAGAATTCAAATAGCTTGAGTTGAAAATATGTTCTGCAAAAAACTTAAATTATAAAAAATTTCCTCAGAAAGTTTGTTTCGTTTTTGATGACGACTAACTGCTGTGTTTAAGCATTTGGGGGGAAAGAGGAGTGTTGTGTTGCTATATATGGAGTAATACAGTTGAAGTAAGTATAAACAGATGCCTAAAATAATCTAAAGACTAATAGTTGTTAAAAATATTTTTGTTTGTAGTTTTTATATTTGTATTTATATTCCTTGAATGTAACACTATGTAGTTTGCTGTAATTAAATGCACTATGGCTGTTATTGTCAGTCCTCTTAATGTTTGACAAATGCTTTGTCAACAATTTTTCTGTGCTTACTATCCTGCTCTAATCAAAATTTTCACTTCCACCCTGCACCAAAATGTATACCTATCATCACTAAACCTAAGCTCAAACCTATTTGCTACCCTTATCCAAATCCTATATATTTGACTGAATAAAGCCTAGAGCAAATGTCACCTGAGCATAGCCATACAAATACAGGTATATTCGAGCACCCAGTTATATTTGCTGTCCTTCAATGAAAACATGATGTACTCTGATAATGTACTTGTATGAATCACTGTTTGTATACATGTAGGTCAAAACTGTCGTGCTTGTTGATGTTAAGTGCCCAACATCAGCCTCATTACATCACCTAGTAGATGCTTTGAGTTCCATGCCAAACCTGACTGACCTGATAGTACAAGGAGAGACATTTCGTGAAGAGTTCTATTCTTTATTGAATGCAAAGGCGTCAACCTTACAGGTATGTATGTGTGTTAAGTTGTACTCTTTATCCATGCCATGATGAATGTATGTACACATATTGCAGAGTTTAGGATTAATGATATATGAGCTACTGTCAACCTTTTTTTTCTTCATGTGTGTATATAGTTTTATATGAAAATATATAAAAGCCTAAGCAGACAAAAGAAGATTATTATAAAGAGAGTTTTTCATGTACAGTGTATGATACACAAATTTGTATAGCAAGAATTGAAAATATGTTCTGCAACAAAACTTCACATTTGAAGGTTTGCTTTAGATAAAGTATTTTGTTTTTTTGATGGAGACTAACTGGATGTATTTAATTAAGCATTTAAAAAATGGGGGGGGGGGGAGGAGGGGAGTGTTGTGTCGCTACTTATGCAGTAATACAATTTCAGTATGAACATATTACTAAAGTACTCTTAAGACTAGTAGATACAAATAGTTATGTATGTAATTTTTTTAATATATTTTAAAGTTCATAGCAATTCATAAGGTATCGGATTTATGTCACCATGGGTCTGAATGCAGTACCAAAGTATAATTCACATTCAATGGTCACTAAACAAGGATGGCAATCTAGATCACAGTGTATGTTTTTTAAGCACACCTACATTTACACAGTCTTCATATTTATTCATGTATAATGCATACTATCAGTCAAATTCAGACTAATGTCAGACTAATTTAAATAGTGCCCCCACCCCCCACTTTTTCAAGTACCCCAAAACTGCCCCTTTTTACATAGGAAAATTGCCCCTTTAACTTTGACAAGTGCCCCTATTTCTTTGTAAAAGTGCCCTTCCCCTTTTCACCTCTGATAAGTGCCCCTTTTATTTTGACACGTGCCCCTTTTCCTTCGACAAGTTATCTTTGCAATAAGTGTTCATTTTTCATTCTCATAAGTGCCCTGTTTAATCTCTAGCAACTGCCCATTTTCAGGTACGAGAAGTGGCCCTTTCCAATTTTGATAATAGCCCACTACGTCTCTGATAATTGCCCTATTCAAATCTGAGAGGTACCCCTTTTACTTTGACGAGTGCCCCTTTTTCTTTGTAAGAAGTGCCCCTTCCCCTTTTTAACTCAGATAACGCACCTTTCATTTTCACATGTGCCCCTTTTCCTTTCTAATAAGTCCCCCTTTTTCTTATGACAATTGCCCCCATAAGAAATTCCCCTTCCCCTTCTCATATATGCCCCTTTTCACCTATGAAAAGTGTCCCTTTTCATTCTTATAAGTGCCCCTTTTCATCTCTGTTAAATGACCCTTTTCAGGAAAGAGAAGTTAATCCTTATCACTTCTAATAACTTCCCCCTTTTATTTTGACACGTGCCCCTTTTCCTTTCTAATAAATGCTCCTTTGCCTTCTGATTGAGTGCCCCTTCCCCTTCTCACAATCACCCTTTTTTCATCTCTGATAAGTGCCCCGTTTATTTTATCATGCGCCTCTTTTTATGCCTCCGCTGCAAAGTAGTTTGAAGATGTTAAGTGCCCAAAATCAACCTCCACGTTATCTTAAGAACCAATTGATGGATTCCCGCAAGTCTTAGGTCATGTATGTATCTTGCAAAGCCAATGAACTGATTAGATTTTGGGGTCACAAAGTCAAAGTTCAAAGATCACATGGCTCATTATGTATGCAAATAGAGCTTGTGTTCACGTTATCTCAAGAACCAATTGATGGATTCCTGCCAAAATTGGGTCATGTATGTATCTTGCAAAGCCAATGAACTGATTAGATTTTGTTAATGGATTACAATCGAACTTGAATATTAAAAATTGCTTCCGATTTGGTTTGTAAAATCGCTCTATGGCGGAGGCATCATTCTCGACTGCGTGCAGTCGAAGGTCCATCTAGTTCTTTTTAATAAGACCCACTACCCCCTTCTCATAAAAGCCCCGATAAATGGCCCTATTAAAATCTGATCGTTGCCCCATTTCTTTCAAAGAATTTTCAATTCACATTTTCCTTTATCATAAGTGCCCCTTTTCATATCTGCTCAGTGCCTCTTTTCAGGTGTAAGAAGTGCCCCATTTTCACCTCTGACTTTGACACGTGCTCCTTTTCTTTTCTAATAAGTGTATTATCCCTTTCGATAAGTGTCCCCTCGTCCTCTCATCATTAAACGTGCCCCTAATTTAAAGCGACTAAGAGCAAGTTCCCCAAAAACTTGCTTGCATTTATAGATGATATAATTATGTTACTTATCAAAGGTCTATTCAGTCTTCCGTTATGAGAATGTACTTACACCCCACATCAGGATTGGTTTTTCCCCTCTTTATAAGATGTAATTTTTCACACTGCCACCTCATAAATCTTAATAAACTTTCCTTGCTCGCTTTGCTTTCTGCATATTCAGATCATCACACCCGACTGCAAAATATCTTGTATGATGTATAGGAGAAACAAATATTGGAGTCATCCCTGATAATTTAATCACAATGTAGGGGTATATACCAATGTCTAACAAATTGTATATTCCCTCCTTGTGATTTTCCTTTGCAGGTGCCCTTTTTTTTTTTTGCCCCCCCCCCCCCCCCCCCCACTTTTAAAGTTGCTCTGCCGTCTATGTGTATTCTCCATGAAACCCACAGAGACAGTTCAGGGTTCTTCGTAGAAAGCTAGCATACACAAAAAGCCTGAAACATTTTTTATGAGTTTGTATTTTTCAATTAAAAAAGGAAAGTAAGAGAAACAAGAAAAAAGGTTTTAAATAAATCAGACCAATAATAAGAGAGTTAGGAATGTTTAAAATATGAGATCACTGGGTGTATGCAAATCTCAAATGGGCAATTTGGTCAGTGGATTGTGAAGTGTGAAATAGAGACAGACAACCCTCATGTTTGTGGTGTACAAAAACATTATTATTTTGTCCCCTCCTAATACTGTTTTCTCACTGGCAATATTTGGCTTAACCCCATACTATAGGTGGAGTTAAATGGTATCTTAGCCCCACCTATAGTCCGGGGTTAAGCTTATTCCACTTTCTTTTCACACTGGCAAAATGTTGCTTAACCCCGTACTATAGGTGGGGTTAAAGGGGTGGGGGGGGGGGGGTTTAACCCCACCTATAGTCTGGGGTTAAGCTTATTCCACTTTCTTTTCACACTGGCAAAAATTTGCTTAACCCTGTACTATAGGTGGGGTTAAAGGGGGGTCTTAGCCCCACCTATAGTCCGGGGTTAAGCCTATTCCACTTTCTGTTCAGACTCGTATTTAACAAAAGTGGCTATCCCCACCTATAGTACGGGGTTAGCTGGCCCTGCAAAATAGCAGGGCTAACCCCGCAATTGTGGTGCTAACTCCGCCATTGCGGTGCCAAGCAAATGAATGAGAACAGAAACAAAAAATAGTCCGGGACTACGCAGTGGAGCGAATTAATGCATACTCACGCTATGGATAGTACGGGGCTAAGGAATTGCAGTGAGAAAAGCCAAAAAAGTTAGTCCGGGGTTAAGGATAGTACGAGGCTAAGCATAGTACAGGGTTAAAGGTAAAGACCAGTATTGGAAACGCCCCAATTTCAAAAAAATGAAATGGAAGCTCTCATATTACCAATCATGTGAAAGAATATGTTTTGACTAATACATGATGATAAAAAAATTGCCTACTAATTCATATATTTGGTAAATTTGTTTCTCTCATGGTCTGTGAAAGATATAGGGTAGTCCCATATACATCTTTCTGTGTATAGTGCTTGTAACTTTACGAAGAATGGGCCAAATTTCTTATCATTTTGATGATTCCAGAACCTTGCCGATGCTAGATGCTAGATGATCAACCTTTTCTGATCGATTCCACAACGTTTCTTTCTTAATGCAATCGCATGACCATAACTGGTCTTTACCTTTAAGCAAAACAAATGTGAAAAGAGTACAAGTGCATTCTTCCTTGGGGCACTGCACATTTTGAAACATGTTGTGTCTTGGAACAAATGAGTAAGTCGTCTGACACTACGTCACAGTGATATCACCTATTCAGCTGATTTAAAGTTCTCATACATATAGTGAGAACGACTTTCAAAAATTCATAACTCTCTTATTATTTGTCCAATATCTTTCACACCTTCAGCAGTTTCATTTCGCTGATTTTTGTGCTTTCTTTTAGAAAAGTTTGTTGCTAAGGTTGGATTTCCCTGTAAGCATTTCTGTACTGTCCTTTAATATCATTCGTATACTTGCTTTTGACGAAATACATCTACATGTATGTGGTCCTCCCAAAATTTGTCGACTTCTAACTTGTTAGGCATTTGATTTGGTACTTCTTGATATAACCCTTGGCCTTTTCCTGGTATGTATCTTTAGTGTATTCTGAGGATTTTAAAAGACAATTTGCTAGGAAAAATTGAAAAATTAGCAAATGGCACAACTTTTGCAGTTTGCAAAAGTTTTTCTTGCCTTGAAAATGCCTTTTCTATACTATTCATGATTTTTTTTTGACAATCTCATTTCTTTCTGCTGTAGGCGAAGGGAAGGACATTGAGAATACATCACAGGTCAGATTATCTAAAGCCCAAGGATAGTGAGGAGTTGGATGATGCAACTAAAAAGCTGAGAGAAGAGGGATGCGCTCCCAAGACACCTCCAATATCCGTCAAGGAGGATGAAGAGGAATTGGTTCTACCAGTGAAAGGTATGGCAGTGAAAAAATGCTGTTTTGGCTTTATGCGGAAAGCAAGTCCAATGTATACGTTAAGAAGTATTATTGAATTGTGAACTTAAATTGGCACGTAAAATATCTTATTTATTTGATGTTTTGTCCTTTCAAGCTCCAGTAGGGCTATCGGGTTGATGCAGTCATCAGGTATAATGAAATCTTAAATGTGGGTTGGACCGGTTATTGACCAATACATGTTCTGAAATCGTGTGTATACATCTCAAATGAATTTGCTCTTTGACAATTTTAATTCTTCTTCAAACTTTGCGAGATTACCTGTTTTTAATGCTCACTGTGTGCTACATTGATAAGCAGTTTAGTAATCTGTTTACTTTCTTGACCTAGTCGAAATGTTAAACAGTACTTATAATGATCTGAAATATCCTTTTCACATGGGAAAGAAATGTTTGATTTTTTGTATTGTTGTTTGACACTGTTTTCATATTCAATTTCATTTTATTTTAGGAAATGAAATTCCAGCAAAAAAGAAGAAGAAATGAAAGAAAGAAGAGAATGAGAGAAAAAGGAAGAGTGCACATGACAGCGTCGACAGCGTGTCGAACCCTGTTGTGAAAACCAAAAAGAAAGAAGATGAGAACTATAGAAGAAAGAAAGAACATACAAAGCAGGAAGATGATAGGAGGATGGTGGATGGGTCTGGACGAAAAGGACGAGAGGAGAGCAGGAGGAGATACGATGATGGTGAAACTACAAGTTCATACCATTCTACTAGATACGAGGATGATGAAACCAAAGTTAAGAGAAGAGAAGATGAACAGATGGATTGGAACTATCGTTGGGATAGAGAGGACAAACCAAGGATGGATAAAAGAGAAAGAGAAAGAGAAAGGAGGGATAGTGAAGGAAGGGGAGGTAGAGAGGAGCGGAGGAATGATAGAAGTGGAGAGAGAGAAGACAAAAGAGATGGGAGGGATAGAGATAGAGAGAAGGAAAGAGTTAAGAGAGATAGAGAAAGGCAACGAGACAGCAGAGATAGGCATGGGGAGAGAGAAAGAGAAAGAGATAGGAGGGACAGAGATAGAGAGAAGGAAAGAAATAAGAGAGATAGAGAACGTGAAAGGCAACGAGACTGCAGAGATAGGGATGGAAAAAGGAAAGAGAACGAGATAGGAGGGATAGAGACAGGGACAGGTACAGATGATTATGATAAATGTGAAATGAAACAGATTTTCTTGCTGGATCTCTGTGGTTTAAGTGGTTTCTTCTGTTGATTCTCATTTGAGAGATCGAGGGTTCAAATCTCTGCTTAATGTGCTTGTCCTTATATACTGCATTTCCAGATGTATGTACAATCTCTGTTGACCAAGGAATGAAATGGATACCTATCAGGATTATTCTTGAAATACAATTTGCACTGATATAGGTAGCCAGAGTTTAATCCAAGATGATAAATTCCAAATATCTTTTGATTTACATCAGAAGGTGTCATGGCATAGTGGTTTATTCCCTTGACTCTCAATTCAAAGGTTGATGGTTCAAATCCCAGCCCAGCACTAACTTTCTCAGGCATTAATCCATATTTGTCACTCTCCACCCAGGTGTTAAATGGGTACCTGGTTGGATGTAAAGTGGTTGTAGTTAATTCAACATTGTGAGCATCTGTAAGCTGGTGCCTGGCTGTTATGCTTCCCAGGGAGTGGAGAATGTGTATACGTTGTGTGTGGGTAAGCCTGAATTCAATGACTAGGCTAATGACATACATGTACTCCTATCTGTAAAGCACTTTGATAGAGACTACATTGATGTATTAAGTGTTATATGAACCCGGAATATTTGTATTATTTTAAGGTCATTCGATGTTGACATGAGACATGTGCTTAAAGGGATCCAGTAACTTTGTCTTAGATCCTTTAAAAATATCCTTGATTTAGCTCATGATGCAAAGATAATTAGAAACCTTTAGGTCAGTCCGGAACCCCATGACTTTTACAAGCCTGATTATCAAGATATTTATGATTGAAAATCGAAATCAAATTTTGCGTTTGCCAAACGGTTTTCATAACACTACATTCTATTGGGAAGAGCGAGTATGGTAAAACCGGTCACTCAGAGGTTTTTACTCTTTTGAGGCACTTCTTGATCATTTTGAAGAGCAATTTTTTAGGGCTTCAATATAACACCATATCACAGACACTGATAACACGTAGGGCCGTGCATCTCAGATTTAACATTGTTAAACGATCCCTTTAAGGGGAAGATGAAGGCAAATAGTTACAAAGATGGAAAGATTTTGATATGGAAAAAGAAGCCTAGTAGAGGAGTCCTCACAAGCATTCCATATAGTTAACATTATATAAAATTGCATGGCCTTGATGAGCGAGATTTCAGAGTGTAGTGCACAAGCCAAAAAGCATTTTCACAAGATTGCTCAATGAGTGAAATATTTTCGAGGAGACTGCAATATATTTTTAAGTCACACAAATATAAAGCCATTCAGTTTTCTTCAATAGTAAAATTAGGAGATACCCAGGGATATTTTTTTTCTCTTCAATTTTCCATTTATACCATGATGTTTTTGTTGTAAATTTTCACACTAATCAGAGCAACAAAGTTTTGCTAAAGAATGAGTAATTATGTGTTTGTGAATAAAAGAAATGAGATATTGAAACATGCATTGTCAGCCAGATACTTTGTGCAAACCATAATATATTCAATTTTTTTGGTCTGCTTAAATCTATAGACCAGTTTTGGAAACGCCCCCCTCTCAAAATATGAAATGGAAGCTCTGATTACCAATCATGTGAAAAAATATGTTTTGACTAATACGTGATGATACAAATTTTGCAGGAAAACCGCCTACTAATTGATATATTTGGTAAATCATCATATCGATCCGGCCTGGATAGATATCGCTTAGTCACATATACATCTTTCTGTGTACAGTGCTTGTAACTTTACCAAGACTTGGCCAAATTCCTTTTCATTTTGATGATTCCAGAACCTTGCAGTACACACCAATAGTTATATGCTAGATGATCAACCTTTTCTTATCGATTCCACAACGTTTCTTTCACAATGCAATCGCATGACTAGAACTGGTCTATACCTCTAATATATTAAATAGAGACCATATTTTTCTATCTTTCTGAAGTGAAAAGTTGGCAGGAATGAGTGAAATTGTGATAATGTATATTGGGCCCAACTGTACATGTATGTATATCTACAATTCAGAGATTATTCCAGTACTTGATAATATTTTTGTTTTTCTTCGTCTTCCAGTCTGACTTTTAGTAGATGTGTACTAAGTTTTGTGTGCTTATTCTTTGTATATACTATAAACAGAGACCATATTTTGATATCTTCTTGAAGTGAAAAATTGTCAGGAATGACTGGGGCGGATCCAGGGGGGGGGGGGCCTCCCCTGGCCCAAACAAATTGTTCGACCCTGATTAGTGATGTATATACTATATATATTAAACAGAGACCATATTTGTCTATCTTCCTGAAGTGAAAAATTGTCAGGAATGAGTGAAATTGTGATCATGTATATATGGCCCAACTCTACATGTAGGCCTATGCACATCTACAATTCAGGGAATATTCAAGTACTTAATAGTGTTGTTGTGTTGTTGTTTTTTCCATTTTAATAATCAGGCATTTGAGTAGATGTGTACCAAGTTTTGTGTGCCTTATGCTGAAGGCCTGTATGTATTGTATAAACAAAGTTGTCATGTGATTTGGTATTAGCCTTGATGCCAAGAGCTACTTGTATAGGAGGGATACATATATGCAGTGAAAACCTGAACTCTGTGACATGTTGAAAATGTCAAAATCATCATTTTTAAATATCAACTGGCATGCCAGTGCGTGATAACTGTACGACATACTTTCTATCAGTGTATAAATCAAGATTCTTAAAAGATAAATGATTTTTAGAGAAGCATGTAGCAATAAAAGAATTGCTCCAACTTCAAGAAGAAAATCTTGATTTTATAGTTTGTAAGTTTAAAACCTTGTATTTGTGATATGCAAAGAATACCAAATTAACTGAAATTGAAAGGTTATTACATCTGAAATATGTTCATAACAATCATGTTTGTGTATACCATGTTTATTTGTATAGAGTGTGTGCCAAAGATTAAATATTTCTTGTTATTTCTTATTCCTAGTCTGAATTTATGATTTATTTGTAAGGTGTGAATCCAGGGGAGGGGAAGGTAGGGAGGAGGGGAGTCAGGGAGTGGAGGGGAGGAGCTCGAGGAAGATGAGGGCGCATGGGAGTGGGGATGGGGAGGAATAAGGGTGAGAGAGAGAGAGAGAGAGAGAGATGATGGGAGTGGGGGATAAAGGGAGGGAAGAGTGAGGGGGAGGATGAAGAGAGAGAGAGAGATATAGATGGTGGGAGGGAGGGAGAGAGAGATGAGAGTGCATGGGAGTGGGAATGGGGAGGAATAAGGGTGAGAGAGAGAGAGAGAGATGATGGGAGTGGGGGATAAAGGAAGGGAAGAGTGAGGGGGAGGATCAAGGGAGAGAGAGATATAGATGGTGGGAGGGAGAGAGAGATGAGGGTGCATGGAAGTGGGAATGGGGAGGAATAAGGGTGTGAGAGAGAGAGAGATGATGGGAGTGGGGGATAAAGGGAGGGAAGAGTGTGAGGGGGAGGATCAAGGGAGAGAGATGAGGGTGCATGGGAGTGGGGATAGAGGGAGGGAAGAGAGAGCGGGAGGAACAAGGGAGAGAGAGAGAGATGATATGGGAGGGAGGGAAGAGAGTGAGAGAGAGAGAGAGATGAGGGTGCATGGGAGTGGGGGTAGAGGGAGGGAAGAGAGTGAGGGGGTGATCAAGGAAGGAAGGGAGAGAGAGAGCGATGATGGTGCATCGGAGGGGGGATGGAGGTAGTTAAGAGAGTATATAAGGTGGTGATCAAGGGAGGAAGTGAGAGAGAGCGATGAGGGTGCATGGGAGTGGGGGATAGAGGGAGGGAAGAGAGTAAGGGGGTGATCAAGGAAGGAAGCCGGGAGAGAGCGATGAGGGTGCATGGGAGGGGGATAGAGGTAGGGAAGAGAGAAAGGTGGTGATCAAGGGAGGAAGGAAGAGAGAGATGGGGGCGGGAATGGGGGATGTATAGATGGGTAGGGAAAGAGGGGCCGGGGTAACAGTATTACAGTGAGCAAGAGAACAGGAAGGAGATATTTTTAGCATAATGATGAGAGGTAGGCCAGTATTCACCAGTAGGTAGGAGGATGAAGAGAAAGGAGATCGAAATCACGGAGCATGTGAGAGCTAGGGGCTGTAGATGTCGAGATGGATAAATGCAAAAAGGTACAAGCTTGAAGCCTCGCTGGCCTAATTTACTTTCTTAAAGAGAAGGTTCTGGGAAGAGGTGAAAAATAATTTGTGAATTTTATCATTCTTATTATGCAAGTGTGGAAGAACATCAGATAAGACATGTTCCCTGAAAAGCATGGCTCTTCAAATGCCTTCATATTCTAAATATGTCATGTAAATCGTAAAACTCGGGGGGTAGGTTTTTTACGCCACGTGTTCGTGTAGTACCATATACATCTTTCTGTGTACAGTGTTTGTAACTTTACCAAGACTTGGCCAAATTTCTTATCATTTTGATGATTCCAGAACCTTGCAATACACACAAATTCTTATATGCTAGATGATCAACCTTTTCTGGTCGATTCCACACCGTTTCTTTCACAATGCAATCGCATGACCAGAACTCAACTTCATCTTTAAGTGACATGCACCTTTTTTAAAAGTTCTGATGTAGTGAATGGAACCGAGTAGATATATTATGCAAAAATATAAATGATGGGAAAAAAATAATTAAATAATTTCTTTTTGCAGTTTTTGTCTCGCCTGCGTAGCAAAAAGCGAGACATAGGCGCCGCTTTTCCGGTGATGACGGCGACGGCGACGGCGGCGGCGTCAACATCAAAAACTTAACCTAAGGTTAAATTTTTTGAATTTTTGA